TTTGTTTTTGGTGTATTTTGTTTTGTTTTTAGTGCATTTTGTTTTGTTTTTCGTGTATTTTGTTTGGAAGTCGGTTTTGTTTTTTTTTTACATGTTTATATGGAGAGATGTTGCACAATATTTCCGCATATTGGATTGGGGGTAAAATGATTTTGATTAATTTGTTGCTGAAATTGTAAATCGTGTTGATTGTCCTAATGTTAAAACTACTAATTACGAGAAATTTTTGATTCGTTATTTACAAATTTTCGATGCTAATAGTTGCTCGCATAGTTTGGATTTTCGTCAAAAACTTTTTACCTAGTTATATTATATTTATTTGTATCTTGTAACAAAGTTGAATTACATTTAGTTTCAATAAGATTTTCATAAATTAATGCATATCTTCTTCACCAAACTTATATAACTGGTTTGTACGACGCACATCGTAATGTTTACGCCGATTTTAGATAAAAACACTCGGTGTGGTTGCCTATAAATAGTGGCACTCGACGCTCAGCTACATATCGACGTTGATGTTACACGAAATCGCTTGCGGCCGTTCAAGTAAACAATTTTAAGGAATGAATTTATATTAAATGACTATATATATGTAAATGGATATTGTTACAAATACATTTGTCATTAAAATCATGTTTTTTTTTATTCATTAAATTAAATTAAAGTTCTATTCCTGCGGAGTTTACAATATTTTCAATAAGTGTTTAAATAAGTCGGGATCTTTTGTCAAGAGAAAAATGAATAAAAGGTTAATGGGATTTTTTTTAATCGATTATTTCTAATGTTCAATTAAATATAGTATTATTGTTTTTTTTTTTTAATTCTCCTTCAGAAATGTAAAATATAGTAAACTGGGAAAAAGGTTGAAAATTCAATATCGGTTTAATTATTAATCATACTTATAAATTTGGAGTGGTATTTATAAATTGAGAGTGGTAGTGACCACTTTAACATCTTCGCACGAATGGGTCAGCTCGCTCGGTGTAATACCACGACCACACAGAAAACAGGCGTCAAGTGGAAGCAATTCCGCGTTTCGTCTGCTGAGTGGTAGAGTATACGGTGGAGGAGACGTATAGGAAGAGGAAACATCCTCGTTATGTGCGTCTCCTCCTCTGTCAGTTAAGGGTAGGCAACGCATCTGCAGTTGCGGATTTTTATAGGCAGCTGTCGCTTTTCCTTTCGCTGGATTCAGGTGGCCGCTTGCTTGTTTGCCTCCTTATATATTATATATTATAAAAAATCACTACATATGCGATAGTATGGACGGATGGATGTTTGTTATTGCTTGTCCCCAAAAATGCTTAACGAATGTCAACGAAATTTGGCACATAGGACATAGTGTCAAACGAGCAAGTGACCATCTGAATCCACCTAAATGACGATGTGACCAGGCCTCATAGACATCGGCAATTGCAGATGCGTTACCTACCTTTAATCGACGGAGGTGAAAAAAAAAATAAAGAACGTGATTTCCCTATCATGGCGCCTCCACCACCGTCTATTCTACTTTCTCTTCCCATACATTACTTACAAGTAATAGGTGAAAAGGAAATGGGACTAATAATTAGGCCTTCAGAACACGCACTTATCCGACGAAACGGGGAATTGCTTCTGTGTGGTCGTGGTATTTTACTGGACGAGTCGGTCCATTCGATGGAAGAAGTTCCTAAAAGTTTTAAATTGATTATATTTCATATTTTGTTTTTAGAATCTTAAATCATGGTTTTAAAGCTTTACAAAGTAGACGCGAGCCCACCGGCCAGGGCTGCATTGATGACTATTGAAGCTGCCAACATTCCTAATGTAGAATTAGTGGATGTTAAATTTCAAGAAGGAGAGCATCTAGAAGAAGAATACTTAAAGGTAAGTTTCAATATTTTTTTTAAATACACGTAACGCATGAAACAAGGAGAACGTTAGTTATAATTATAAATGTAGAAGGGTACACCGGTAGAGGATGGATTGCGTGAAAGGTGACACGATCCAGAAGGGACGTATGATAGAGTTATGTGGAGGAATTCAACCCTGTCGCGCCGACCCTACGGGAGTAGGATAAGGAGGAAATTATTGTGACATGTAGAATTAACGTTACGTTTTTAATGTTTTTGTAGCGACTGCACACCTTAATTTTACTAATAGCAAATATTTTTTGTTACCAATTAGTTTTAAAAAACTGGTTTATGTCAAGAAATAGTTTCCCTCAGATTTATTACTTAAAATATATTTGATTCGTACATAGTTCATTTAAACAATCGTTTTATTTCCAGAAAAATCCGCAACACACTGTGCCGACTTTGGAGGATGATGATTTTTATATTTGGGACAGGTAGTTATATTGTTTTTTTAATATACACATATGATTTGATAAGGCGACAAACGAACAAGTGGCTACGGGAATTTGCCAAAATAGCGAAAAGACGACTGCTCATATCCGTATTTGCAAATATGTTGCGTATCTTTAATCAACAAGGGAGGGGACACTCGACTCCTTCTTCCCACTCTTTCCGTGTAACAGGACTGAGATGGGAAAGAGCACTGAAATTCTGCCTCCCGTATATATTGAGGATAATCGCAAGAATGTCACAATATATTCAGAAACATGAGTTTGACCTTTGCAAAGCAAAGATAATGCTAACATATTTAAAATCAGTATTAATTTTATTCCAGTCACGCAATAGCTGTATATTTGCTAACAAAATACAGTAAAAACACAACACTTTATCCATCGGACCCCAAGCAGCGTGCGATCATAGACCAGAGACTGCACTTCGATAGTGGTATACTCTTCCCGAATCTACGTGGATCTATCGTAAGTATCATATTGCATAACTGTTTTGGTGTTTGAAGTCAAATTAAACACTTAAAAAGTTTTTATTATCATTAAAATATTATCAAGTGTTGCGGTCTCCCGTGAATTTGATAGCGCGGAAAAAATTGAGGTTATCCAAAACATCCACGCATGCATCAACTACCTTCCCGTTAGTGTAATTTTTTAAAACGGATTTTAGTTATCATTAACGCAAATTCTTTATCATAGTGAAATATATATTTCTTTTTCGATGTTAGATACATTCTCCAATTTTATGAACTGAATTAAAATCATCGATTAAAAAAAATGCTTGATTTTTGTTAATGCTTGATTTTTGTTAATTTACTAATATTTCCTTTAACCATTCCGTTCCATTCCATTAGTCCGTACCCCAAACCATTAGGCTATTAGCGCTTATACCTCTATTGAATTTTATATTATTTACAGGAACCAGTACTTTATCGCGGTGAAAAATCAATTAAACAAGAAGCATTGAATAAAATTAAATCTGGGTATGAATTCTCTGAAAAATTCCTAACAAAGCGTTGGATCGCAGGAGATGAATTCACTCTAGCCGACATTTTCTTCATGGCCTCTATCAGATCATCGCACGAGATACTTCCCATCGACGGTGCAGAGTAAGTTTTCTTTATTTAAGCTTCGAATCCCGCCTCTTGTCGGACTCTTGTCGGATTAGCCTTAATTAATTTCCTATGTTTATTAGTTAGATTAGATAGCTCGGTCCTTCTGTACCTTTGCAGCTATCCACATTCAATTTCATTACTTTCTCATTTATGTTATCATTACCATGGTTTACTTAAGTGCTCTCGGGGTTCCTAAGAAAAGTCTGTTTTCAGGTTTCCCAAACTCACTGCGTGGTTGAATCGGTGTAAAGAGCTGGATTATCACAAGAAAATAAATGAGCCAGGATCGGTACAGCTTGGCAACGTAATAAGGAGTTTACTTAGTTGAATTATTTTAGATATTATTGGTTGAATTTTTTTTCATTTTGCAAAATGTAAATGCTATTAAATGTTTTTATGATATTTTGATGTTATTATTGATAAAGTGTTTCCTTTAGATAAATGAATAACATTTGAATTATTTAGGAAATACTTGATGTTAATTGGATCAGATCATCTTTGTACTTAATAACCTCAACTATGGAACCGATATTGACGATTAAAGTGTCATTTGACTCGCTGGGCAGTTTGGCGCTATCGCCGGCGTATTGTGGAAAAAACACATTTAAATTTGTTTATACGATTCTCAGAGCAATATTGCGCTACACCCTAAACGCAGACACTTCGGATGGACCAATCTAAAAATCAAGCATTTAAAATTAGGCAAAGTTGAGTCTATTCAAGGCTATTGAAATCCATAGGAACATTAAAAAAAATGTTTTTTTTTTGCCACGTTCCAAGTGTCTGTCTGCCTGCAGGGGGTATTGTCTTAGACTATGAAGTATAATTAGTACTTACAACACTATTCTTATCGTATAACAAATAAGTTTGTTAATGTTAGTAAGGTCGGCCGATGACATCGTGCTTGTCGGGGAGGATGAATGCGAGGTACAGAGGAGGTTGGAAGAATGGCGGGTTAAATTGGAGGGAGCTGGTCTTAAAATCAGCAGGACCAAAACTGAACATTTGTTTTGCGATTTTGGCGGTCCGACCAGCTTCTCTCCAATCGCCTTAAATGGTTTGCCTCTACCAACCTGCTCCGACTTTAAGTACCTCGGTTCTCTACTCCAGTCCGACGGTGGCGTTGACCGAGACGTAAAAAGCCGAATAAATGCAGGTTGGATAAAATGGCGACAGGTTACTGGTGTGACTTGTGATAGAAGAATGCCTCTTAGGCTTAAGGGACAGATCTACATAAGACCTGTCGTATTGTATGGATCTGAATGCTGGGCCACCAAAGTTTCGGATGAAAGGAGATTGCATGTGGCTGAGATGCGTATGTTAAGATGGATGTGTGGTGTGACAAGATTGGATAAAGTTAAGAATGTGTACATTAGAGAAAGTTTGAAAGTAGCGCCAGTGGTGGAGAAATTGAGAAGCAAAAGGTTAGCGTGGTATGGACATGTTATTTTATTGATTAAAATTTTATTGATTTAAAAAGTGCTTGCCAAATTAGAAAGCAAAATTTTCACTGAGTAACATAAGCTATGTTTATTATTACATTTTGTATTTCGTGAGGACAAAAACGCGGATACCATCCAAACTTGTGTTAGATATTTCTAAATATGTTACATACCTTTATGTTCTGCTCGACATTTTTCAATTAATTTGGTGACATCCACTTCAGTCATATTTTTGTTTGATAATGACGAAATATTTTACGTAATTCTAATCGCGTAATTTTACGAAAAGCAATATCTGGAAACACTATCCTGCATTTAGATAAGGTACAAATCATTAGTGATAAAAATGACGTGATACGATCATGTATATAAGAGAAATTTGACGCACGAAAACATACTAACGGTGTCAATACGCCCAGTTACAAGTATCTGGTATACTTAACAATTAAAAAGGTCTGTTAATCCACATTTATTTGTTTAAACAGCTTTTAATGCCGCTTCATCATCATCTTGTATTGATCGGCCCACCAAGTCACCACCATTTAATGCAATATTCTAATCACCCCGCCCTTCTTAATAATTTTGCATTTCACAAAATCACTCCGTTTCTTAGCAGGCCTACCCCTTCCTACGTACTTATTCAATGTTCTCCTATTCTCACATGGGATCATTCTTCTCTCATGACATGCTCAGTCCGTTCAAACCTTTTGCTTCTTAATTTCTTTACCACTGATGCTACTTTCAAACTTCCTATATTATACTTATACTCGTTTCGTATATTATCAATTTGTTTCCCCAACCTTCTTAGCAATCCCATTTCATAATATGAATTATTTTTTTTCTCCATCGTTTAAAGATATGCGCTGTTCTTGTTAGGGACATTGTTTAAATTAATGTCGATTAATTATAATTTTTTTGATTGTTTTTCGCATACATATTTATACTGTTGCCAGTTTGAATCCGCTTGGATTTTACCTACTTTAAAGTTTCATCATCATCTTGCTTTTATCCCTTCGTAGTGTCGACATACAATAAGCTGCTCCATCAGCCGTTATTTCTTGATTTACTTCCTTGCTCTTTATTTACTTTTTAAGACAGAAAAAGAAGTTCAGGTTATTAAAATATTTGATTTTAGATTCTCAGAAATTTAAATCATGGTTCTAAAACTATACAAGATGGACGCTAGTCCTCCGTCGAGAGCCGTCATGATGACGATTAAAGCTGCCAACATTCCTGATGTTGAAATTATCGATGTCAATATGCAAGAACGAGATCATCTAAAAGACGAATATGTTAAGGTGAGTGAGAAATTTTAATACAATTAACAAACTGCGGTAACCCTCAGTAAGAGCGGACACACGCCTTTGACTAAACAATCGTACAACTGTTGTGCGATTGTCGATTGTTTCGCAGCCCATTCACCTTTAGTTTAGTTTACAACTAAAAATCGAGCAGTGGGTGCACATTCATTTAAGCTCATAGGAATCAAAGCGTGACTAAAGAGTTGTGCGATAGTTTAGTCACAGATGAAACATATCCCTCAGTGAAGAACATTGGAACTTGATTAGAGCTCGGTGTGGACTTCAAACATTCATGATCAACATGTGTGATGACTCGTGTTTTATCATAGTACCAAAGTCCAGCATTACATGACGTTTAATTAAAAATGTTTAAATGGCGTGTTTTCTTGTTATCTCAGCCCCAAGGATAGGTACGGTCGTGGAAATCCGCGGTGTCTTGCTTTCAGAAAAATTGTCGTGTCCCGTGCTCTTTGCACGGAACACGACTCTACTCCGTATCCTACAAAATACCAATTACGTTGCCGTGCAAACCACGGCATTATTGATTATAATCCGAGGACTTCGATAGTAGGTTTATTATCGAAGTCCTTGGATTCACCACGCCAGGGGGAGAACGACGGGGCGGCAAAAGGTCGTCCAAAAAAAAACTTTTCACCGTACAGTCACATTTAAAACTGCCTCCTATTGGTTTTAATTCCGCATCGTGGTCTTAATTACATAACGGTTAAGTCTGATTTTAATTAACGCCACCAAATTCCCCGATTGTACCATAAAAATATGTGCTGTTTATCGATGACGTACAATTACAAGCAAAATTATTGAACGTGTCGGCTACACGTTCAATAATGTTATTTGTCATCAAACATTTGTAGCAAACACATGACGTCATCCTGCAGTAATTTTAATACATTTCGAGTCAAGTCATGTAACTTGTATTCAGTATTTCAAAATACTTTGTTCGTCACTAGTTTTAAATAAAGTTACAAATAACAGTAGAATGGTTTCAAGCACAGCAATGTAATCTGTTAAGTCCATGGTCAACCTCTGACATCTACTATTGTCATTTTCTATTGTCTAATTTTATTTATAACGACATTTTTTTGTTTTTACAGTAAAGAACATCGTCATAGTTGACTAATATTATAATACATCTAAAATACCTATAATCTTCAGATAAATTTATTAATTGAAACGATGAATATTTGCAGATAAATCCACAACATACTGTGCCGACCTTGCAGGATGATGAGTTTTGTATATGGGACAGGTAAAGTAATTTTATTTTTAAATTTCGAGTATTGAATGCATCATCATAAGGACTATAGTGAGCTGGTGATATCATCACCTGAGACTTGAGATTTGGAACCTACCGTAAGTTAGAGACTATGCCTATCGAAAGCATAGAAAATATAAAACTATGTTAGTAGTTTCACAAAGAGAAAACGTTAAGACAGGCAAAAGAAAAACTGGTGAGGTGATGAGAGAACCTAAAGCAATATTAATTTCGTTTCAGTCACGCAATAGCTGTATATTTGCTAACAAAATACAGCACAAACACAACACTTTATCCATCGGACCCCAAGCAGCGAGCGATTATAGACCAGAGACTGCACTTTGATAGTGGAATACTCTTCCCGAACTTACGTGGAGTTGTCGTGAGTATTTAATATTTTATTATTCTTAAAAAAACACTTGCAAGAGAAATCCTGTTAATATACTTGAACTTATCCGGATCCAAATATGTCACACATCTGAATTTGTAGAAGTCAATAAGGCAACTGTATTGTTTGGTTTTTCTAAAATATCCATACATTTTTAATAATGTGACAAAACTACTTTTGTTTAAAATTAGCTTCAATTATGCCATCCGCGTTAAAGAAGTCATACTATAAAAGGTTTGTTGCTGTTGATGTTTGTTTATTTTAGTGACCGTCTTTCCAGTGTTCAAAGTAATTGTAATTGGCAATATAAGATTGATTGTGCAATATAAAAAAAAATTATTCAAATAAGTCTGAATTAAATTCTCTAATTTTAACAGGAACCATTAGTATACAGAGGTGAAAAATCAATAAAGCAAGAATCATTGGATAAAATCAAATCTGGGTACGAATTTACTGAAAAATTCCTGACGAAACGTTGGATCGCAGGAGATGAGTTTACACTAGCCGATATTTGCTTCTTGGCCTCTATCAGGTCATCGTGTGAGATAGTACCAATCGACCCTGCAGTGTAAGTCCTAATTTGAATTAGTACAGTAACAAGCGTGTACAATTGGCGGGCTGTTGTCATACTTACAGCCGCGGTAGATGTCTTAATGGAAAGCGAAATAACCAGTTTCTGGACTTTTTTTCCCTTGTACTACTTTCAAAATATTTCAGATGTCTACAGACTTCGATTCTTGTACATACATTGTTAACTAATGTATGTTTTCAGGTTTCCTAAACTCACTGATTGGTTAAATCGCTGCAAAGAGCTGGATTACCACAAGAGCATAAATGAGCCAGGTTCAGTACTTCTTGGGAATGTAGTTAGGAGTTTCCTTGGTTGAATCATTTACGACATTGTTTTTTTTATTTTAACATTTGATTGCTATTAAAAGTTTTTATTTAATTACGCCTTTTTCATACAATTTATCTCACTCTATCCTAACCTATAGATAATGAACTCATATTTGACGGGAGAGAACAAATCAGGTTGTAAAAATAAATATCATTTCAAATACAAACTAATCAGAAAAATAGACACCGAAATCTTTTTTTGTAAAATTTTCTTTGTTATTTTGTAACACTAGTATAAATATTTTCTGATTAATTTAAAAAACAGAAACAATACTGATTATTTTGACTTCCAGTGTAGTTCATAATTGATTTCGCTGTATTTTTCATTTCTTTATTAAGAGAAAAATAATTACGACGACTGCAATTAGCGTAACAGTTAAGAATCTGTCTTAAGAAGGAAGAAAAATTGCCGCACAACTTTCAAAGTTAGTTTTAATTTAAAACTATATCTGAGTTCTTACTTTATCATCACTAAAGTATTACAGAGGTAGAGAATTTTATCATTAATTTTATTGAAATGACAAATTTAGATTTACTTATTGTGTAGCCATGAAAATGTTACTAATCATACTAATATTATAAATGTGAAAGTTTAGATGGATGGATGTTTGTTAGAGTTTGTAGCCTAAATGCCTGAAAGGATTTCGATGAAATTTGGTACCGATGTGGAGGATAGTCTGGAAGAACACATAGGCTACTAACTTTCTTCTTTTTTAATTCCACGCGGGCGGAGTCGCGGGCGAAAGCTAGTATAACTAATAAAGAGTAAACACGCACTACTTTATGACGTAGGATGTGAGCAATCACAACATGTTTTTAAATATGTTTTTCAAAAGCCCTACACTTACGACACGCTTTAGTAAGTAGGTATATATTTTACGATATTAAACTTAAGAGGTAAATCAATTGGAAACGACCTCTATGTGGGAAAGGGCCCATAAACAAGCTGCCAACATTATGGAATTACAGTTAGTATGATAACGGTAATTTTGACATTGTCAATTGAGAATTTGTTAAATGTAAATAAAAATATGAAGTTTTTAATTTCATGTTGATAAAGCCGCACGGGAACAGCTACTGACTTATATTTTTCTTAAGTAAATTAATCGATTTATCATTATTAGTATGAAAATTTCCTTTTCTTTTCACACTTTCATATAGCTATAACAAAGACGGCATTTAATTGCAAATCCTGTTGAGACCAAATTTCCATTCGACGTCATTAAGCTCGCGAATAAAACCCTAAAAGCGACGAAAAATTTGCAGTTAAACGCTTAATTTGAATACGTCTGAATGTAAGGTCGTTAGTGTGCCCGAGTATAACGGCCTCAAACCAAAAACCGTTTCACGTGATTCATGCCACTTCCTGAAGCCTTAATTAAATACAGGATGTAGAACCCTTTACGATCTATTTACATTTATTTACCTACAACATTCGTTTTAAATGCTTGCTTTACATTTTTAAACATTTTCTATGACTTAAATCGTTTGGGTGTTTAATTTAAAGATCAACGTCACAGTCAAAGGCAATCCTTCCTTAGGGAGTTTGTTTAGTAGTAGTAAGTAGCCTATGTGTTCTTCCAGACTATCCTCTACATCTATACTAAATTTCATCGAAATCCGTTCAGCCGTTTAGGCCACAAACTCTAACAAACATCGATCCATCCATTTAAACTTTCACATTTATAATATTAGTATGATGTCTATCAAAGAGGCGGGTATTCTCGTGTTGACAGAAATTTAAAATGTAAATTACGACTCTGCACACTATTTACTATACTCGTTCCCAACATCAAAGTGTATGTCTATTCGCTTTAGAAACTGTGCTTGTGCGTTATTCGTTTACTTAGCTCTCAATCGTACGGGCGCTTTTTTAACGCTTGGCCTTGGCGATTTTTTAACGCACTCGCTCATATGTACCCGCCTTTATCGCTCGGCGTTAAAATTATAACATTGAATGATATAAAGCGTCTTGCTTTTAAAGCTTTACCGTATGAACAGAAACAGAAGAATAAATTTATTTCATTTAAATCTTTTTTAAACGAGCGTTATAAAAACGCCCGTGCATGTGGCTATATTTCTTAATGTCTGGTAGATCAAATGAATGTATGCGCAATCCTTATGGATTGCCTATGTATTTATATACATAGGCATATCGAATAGATACAAATAGAAGTTTGAAACGAAGCTAAAATTCCAATAATAGTTTAAATTAACAAAGCGCACTGTGAAAATGGAATGTAAATCATAAAAGTAGTTTGCGCATAAATTCTCATAATTTTCTCAACAGATACCCGTCTAGAACTGTTATTGTTTTTCTTTTAAACTAACAAAATAGTTGGCCATAAACATTTTCATTGTTATTTTTATACAAAAAGGAGGGCATACGAGTAGTGAATACCTGCCAGCACCTTTTTGCCATTAGCATTTAAGCCATAGCATTGTAATACATTGCTTTTTTTCTACGTAGCGATAATTAAAATTATTAATACGTAGAATAACCTAACGTATGACTTAAATAAATTTCACATAGTCTTAATATTAAGGTTGTAAGCGTCAAAAAATCCTGTGAAATTTCTTTCCAGAATCATTATCTTAAAAGCAACATGTTGTAAAGGTTTTAAAAATGCCTACTAAAATTTCTTGACTTATCATCTTCATAAAAGAAGTAACAACTTGTCTCCATTTTTTTTCTTTTTTGTCTAACCACTTCGTATTATACGGGTTTGTATTAGCTTTAAAATGATACCTAACTTTTTGACACCGCACACCTTTAGGCTATCGCACAGCTGTGTGATTGTCGATTGTTTCGCAGTCAATTCAACTGTTTAGTTGCACAACTAATCGAATAATGTGCCACATTGTGCCACGAATAACATGCTCAAAGGTATCACATCGCGACTACAGTTGTGCGATAGTTTAGTCAAAGTTGTGCTCGCTCTAGCTCCACTGTAAAATCTTATGATGAATTTTCCTAGAACTGGATTTTTTGTTTGAAGAATTAGGTAAGAACATATTAATTGATTTCTGTGTTTTAAATACTAAACTACGTTAGCGTGACGTTAGGCGAGAACGGTTTGAGATATGAAAAACTGTTTAAATCTAAAGCAATTTCCATAAATCAGCTTATCACTCTGTCCATTATACAAACAAAATGAAACAAAGTCTATTAAAAACACACGCGTCTCGTATGATTGGAACAACTGAGATAACAAACTTAATATTAATGAGTTTGTTGCAGAATGTTTACAATGATTCCCGCCGGCGGCGCTGCGGTACCGTTCACAGAAGACGCGGGTTTTGCGCACATGACTCTGTTCGTTCCGTATAATGTAGGGTTCCATAGCTAAAATTTCTATAACTACATATGTCTTTTTTTTATAACGTAAGGTCACAAACGAGCAAGCGGCCACCTGAATCCATCGAAATGGAAAGCGAGCTGCCCATAAACATCCGTAATTGCAGATGCGTTGCCTACCCTTAATTGACGGAGGAGGAGACGCACATAAAGAGGACATTTTCCCTTCCTATGCGTCTCCTCCACCGTCAAATCCAATTTTCTTCTTCACTATTAAGAAAAGGGTAGAATGGGAAAGGGACTAAAATTAGGCCTTCGGCACCACACTCATCAGACGAAACGCGGAATTGCTTTCACTTCACGCCTGATTTCTGTGCGGTCGTGGTATTCCACCGGGCAAGCCGGCCCATTCGTGCGAGGATGTTAAAACGGGCTCTACCACTGTCTGAGAAAACTTAGAAGAGAGATACTTTCACACTCAGTAAAACATTTCGCCTATGAAAACGTTCATTTATTCATACCATTAAGTCACAGTGAACAATAACAGGAATATAAATTCTTGTAATCTGAAAACAAATTAGAAAAAACGAATTCGTTCAGAAGTGTACGAATACATTCAAAGTTTCACAAGTTACGAAATTGTGTTGCATTAATAATTCATTTTATATTGTGACCGAGGTAAGTTATTACGCGAAAGGCCTCGCTAAACTTTTTTTATAAACGAAAGATTTTTTTTGTTGAAGTGCCTGGAAAATATCTATTCAAATCGACTGCGTAATTTTTCCCGAACTTTAAACATTGTGGAATTTTAATTTGTTCGCAAGGTTATTTCTTTTGTTTTAAAATTAATTCATTCGATATTGTTACGCAATTATTGATTTTGTACAGTGATGGAACATAAAATTAGTTAGTGTTCAATAAGTAGTAATTAATTAGTTGTCATATCTGTCCCGCGAAACTTTAGTATTAAATCTATGTGTTCTTTTAGACTATTTTCTATATCTATACTTCTATATTAGTATAACGAAGCTTCAAAACACACTACTACGTAGATGTTAGCAGTCTCAGTATTTTTCTTTGAATAATCCTTTCTTTACTAAAAAGCCCTAGACTTACCTTACCTTTTAGGCTATATGTTTTCACTCTATTAAACTTAGGTGTAAATAAATTGGAAAAAACCTTCATGTGAGAAAGTGACCATAACAAGCTGCCAATATTAAGAAAGCAAGAATATTATGGTAACGGTAATTTTCACATTTACAATAAGAATTTGACTAATAAAATTAACATTTAAAAATTTCATACGGATTAATCCACACAGGTACTAGTCATACTAATATTATAAAAGTGAAAGTTTAGATGGATGGATGGATGTTTGGTAGAGTTTGTAGCCTAAACTGTTGAACGGATTTCAATGAAATTTGGTACAGATGTAGAGGATAGTCTGGAAGAATACATACGAGTACTTGGCTACTCACTTTCGTGTTTTTTAATATTGGTATATTCTAAATTTCAGAAAGCGTTTAGCTGTTTTGGAAATACTTAGTAACAAACATCCATCTAAATTTTCGCTTTTGTAATATTATTATTTCGTATTTACAACGCAATAGTGCATATTCTAAAAACCAATTGATAAAGTTAAGTAGTAACCTAGTCGCAACGTTCATTGCTTTCATAAAATAACAAAATTAA